GAGGGACCCGCCAGAGGTATAAACTGGTAGGGAGCCTGACGTGAAGAGGCGGATAGGCCTGCACAGCAGTGAACGGATCCGTACCGGATGGATGGCAGGGTAGTGTAGCTAGTCAGACAGGCCAGGTCGGTAATCATGGGGGCAGCATAGTACAAAAGCAGCAGACAAAGAGTAGTCAGGTCACACGCTGGGTTCAGTAACAGGAGTCCAGATCAATGGGGATATCCAGGAAAGTAGTCAAACGAGCCAGGGGTCAGAGCAGGAGATAGTCAGCGAAGGTCAGGATCAAGCAGGGTCAGCAACAAATCAATCAGCAGATACACAGGAACAGAAACAGGATAAATAGACCATACGGCAACTAGTGTCTGTGCAGAGCTGGTTTAAATAGCGTGCCCTGCGCTGTCATTGGTGCCAGACACGTGTCCGCGATCGGGAGTGCGCATGCGCGAGCGCCGGTGCCGTCGCAGGCGCCCAGTCCTAGTGCCTGCTGATTCGGGCACATTGGCATTCTGCGCATGCGCAGACCCGTGCACCGTCGCGCTGTCTGACATTACCCCCCCCTATGGGCATCCTCCGGGTGCCCAACTGATCTCTCCTCCGTGGGTGGTTGTGGTAGAACTCCCGGACAAGTCTGGGGGTGTGAACATTTTGGGCTGGCTCCCATGAATTCTCCTCAGGACCATAACCCTTCCAAGAGCGCCAGCCAATCGTCCTGGAGAAAAGATGTATAGCATCTCAGGTACTGCTCCAACGTCCGGTTTGTCCTTACCGTCTGCCCATTTGTCTGAGGGTGGTAGGCGGATGAGAACGACAGTCTGATTCCCAGAACCTCGCAAAACGCTCTCCAGAATTTGGATGTGAACTGGACTCCCCGGTCTGAGACAATGTTTTCTGGAATCCCATGAAGCTTTACCACTTCTTTCACAAAAATTTGTGCCGTTTCCAGAGCCGAGGGTGTGTTCTTTAATGGCAGGAAATGGGCCATCTTTGACAGGCGGTCCACAATTACAAAAATTGCAGAGTGATCTTGAGAGGGTGGGAGCTCCACCACGAAATCTATAGAGATCATTTGCTAAGGCCCATCAGGTATGAGCAATGGTCGTAGTAAACCCCAGGCCTTGCTTCTCGTGGGCTTGTTCCTTTGACAAGTGGCGCAGGTTTTTACGTATAGTTCACAATGCTTGACCATGGTCGGCCACCAGAATGTACGCTGGAGTAACTCTTAGGTCTTCGCAATTCCAAAATGACCTGCCAGAGGATGGCCATGGCAGTGTCCCAGGACTAAGATACGGACCTCCTTAGGTACCACGATTTGCCCTTCCTTCCAAAAGAGACCCTCCTTGCTCTGTAGGGAAACTCCAGATGGGTTTGGCATTCCTATGGACGCGGTCTGTAGCCTAGAGTGTAGCTCAGTTTGGAGGGTGAGAAAATTCCCAGTGAAAGAATAGTGTCAGGTTTAGGGACCTCTTCCGGATCCTCGAACATGCGCGAGAGTGTCAGGCTTCATATTCTTGGACCCGGGTCTATATGTAATATGGAGCACGAATCGAGAAAAGTGCCCATCTCGCTTGGCGTGGTCTCAGGCGTTTGGCTGTCCTCAAGTACTTAAGGTTCTTGTGGTCTGTGAAGATCAAAATTGGATGCGTGGCCCCCTCCAGCAGATACCTCCACTCTTCCAGTGCCGTCTTGATAGCCAAAAGTTCCCGGTCCCCTATGTCATAATTCCTTTCTGCTGGCGTGAGTTTCCTTAAAAAGAACACCACTGGGTACATGAGCTCTTCGGTACCCTTTCTCTGGGACAGGATGGCCCCCACTGCCTTCTCAGACACATAGACTTCCAAGATATATGGTAGAGAGGAATCTGGGTGACTAAGAATAGGGGCTGTAGTAAATAGCTCCTTCAGGGCCTCAAATGCTGCTTGCACCTCGGGTGTCCACCGGAAACGGACCCCCTGCTGGGTGAGCTGGGGGATCGAGACCCGAAAAGTTTCTAATGAACTTCCTGTAGAAGTTAGCAAACCCTATGAAGCATTGCACACCCTTCTTGTCCATGGGTACTGGCCATTCTAAAATTGCAGAGACTTTCTGGGGATCCATCGCAACCCCCGTGGTGGAGATAATCAGCCACAAGAACGCAATGCTGTGCTGCTCAAAACTGCATTTGTCTGCTTTAGCATATAACCCGTGTTGGCGTAGACGTTCCAACACGCTTTTGACATGACCCCTATGGGTTTCCAGTGAAGAGAAGATCAAGATATCATCTAGGTAGATGACTACAAAAATGTCTAGATAGTCTCTAAATACATCATTTATGAAGTGCTGGAACGTGGCTGGGGCATTACTGTCAGGAATGGTCTTATTTCTGGTAGTGCTGAGGCTTACCTGCCTTGTGGGCTGCAGTACCAGTGCTGGCCAGCGGGTGCTCTCAGCAGCCAGTGTCTCACTCCTGCAATCAGGCCATCACCTGAGGCTGATTGCAGGAGGTGTATTAAAGCAGGACCAGGCCTGCAGTCAGTGCCTTGGTTTATTGCTCCCTTGCGCCCTGTATCCTGTCTCCTGCCTGCCTGACGCTCCTGCTGGACTCTGACCCTGCTTGAACTCTGCCCATACCGACCCCGGCTATTCCTGACCACTCTTCTGCCTGCTCCTTTGGACCCTGTCTGCCCGTTAGCTACCGACCTGGCCTGCCTGACTACATTTGTGCTCCATACATATTTATATCAGTTAAGGTTTGGGTTTTGTTTGCACTTTGTTGTACATATTTATATTAGTTTAGGTTTGGTTTTTGCTTGCACTGCGTTTGTGTATTGTATAAACCTTTAATAAATTATATTGTTTTACACCTTACCTATTTATTGCATAGTTTGCTTGAAAGGGTATATACCAGTGTGCAGAGGGTCCTTCAGAATTTCTAGAGTTAATGTGGTTACACCCCTTTAGCACCTGATGGATAAATGCATGCACTAGCTGTATGGATGTTGAGCACAGGGATCTCTTGTTTGTTGTATTGTTGGGTCAGTAGCCAGACCTGAACCTTGTAGCTCTCCCCATTGTGTCTTTTCCCCTATGCTAGCATTGTGTCCACAGTAGCACTTACGTAGGCAGGGCAGAGTAGGACTGGCCATAGAGGGATTACTTTGACGCAGTTAGCCAGCTTAAGCATGTATTGCAATATGTGTGAACCAAATATCCCTATTTATTGCATAGTTTGCTTGAAAGGGTATATACCAGTGTGCAGAGGGTCCTTCAGAATTTCTAGAGTTAATGTGGTTACACCCCTTTAGCACCTGATGGATAAATGCATGCACTAGCTGTATGGATTTGAGCACAGGGATCTCTTGTTTGTTGTATTGTTGGGTCAGTAGCCAGACCTGAACCTTGTAGCTCTCCCCATTGTGTCTTTTCCCCTATGCTAGCATTGTGTCCACAGTAGCACTTGCGTAGGCAGGGCAGAGTAGGACTGGCCATAGAGGGATTACTTTGACGCAGTTGGCCAGCTTAAGCATGTATTGCAATATGTGTGAACCAAATATCCCTATTTATTGCATAGTTTGCTTGAAAGGGTATATACCAGTGTGCAGAGGGTCCTTCAGAATTTCTAGAGTTAATGTGGTTACACCCCTTTAGCACCTGATGAATAAATGCATGCACTAGCTGTATGGATTTGAGCACAGGGATCTCTTGTTTGTTGTATTGTTGGGTCAGTAGCCAGACCTGAACCTTGTAGCTCTCCCCATTGTGTCTTTTCCCCTATGCTAGCATTGTGTCCACAGTAGCACTTGCGTAGGCAGGGCAGAGTAGGACTGGCCATAGAGGGATTACTTTGACGCAGTTGGCCAGCTTAAGCATGTATTGCAATATGTGTGAACCAAATATCCCTATTTATTGCATAGTTTGCTTGAAAGGGTATATACCAGTGTGCAGAGGGTCCTTCAGAATTTCCTGTGTCAGTCCACACATCTCTGGTCATACTCGGATCCCTGACATTACACCAAGGCCAGTCCTGAGCAGAAGTGGCTGCACAGGGAAGCCATCTTGGCTTGTTGTTGTAAAGGATGCATCCTGAGGAGGTTGTGTACCTGTATCTGCTAGTCTTAGAAGACAGAGAATATGCCTATCAGACTCTGAAGGAGTATGCCAGGGATCAGCTGCTAGAGTGCATACGGGTCACTCATTCCCTAGTAGATCAGGGCATGGAGTTCTCTGAGGTGCAACCATCGATTCAGGCTTGTGCTGAGTTGGCTTCATCTAGTACCCCTGAAAGCAGGGATGACTTTTATCCACCATCTGGTGCAAATCAAGTAAAGTCACTGGTATGGTTGTTGGAGGATGATCCAGATTGCTTCCTTGAGCATTATTCAGCTTGTCCATCACATGTTCTTGTGGATTGTATAGACGCAGTGTAGTCTTTGGTCAGACAGGCTACATGTAAGCTGAGCTTTGTTCAACCGGTATTACAGACATGGTCAGATTTGTTACACCCAGCCTCAGTCAGCTGGCTAAAACCCAGGCCTGCCTCTAATCCATTTTTTCAAAGCTCTATTCCTGCATTTCCGGCAGCACCTCCAGTTCCAGCCCTGCTATCAACCACATGTCAGTACCCTGTTCCCACTCGCTGCACCTATCCTGCCTTTAACAGTGTAAAAAAGCCCTCTGTAGCAACTATTCCCTCCTCTGTTCCAACCTCCAGCTCTTCTCTGTCTTCAGCTGCTCCCTCTGTTTACAGACCTGCATTTGCTCGCAGTACTTCAGTAACTAAAACCAAGAAGAAGCGAAAATTTTTTCCAACCAGTACCATCCTGCCAGTATCCAAATCGGTCAGCCTGTCGTCTGATGACCCGATCCAGCCTGATGACCCGATCCAGCCTGATGACCCGATCCAGCCTGATGACCCAATCCAGCCTGATGACCCGATCCAGCCTGATGACCCGATCCAGCCAGATGACCGGATCCAGCCAGATGAACGGATCCAGCCAGCCAGATGATCGGATCCAGCCTGATGACCCGATCCAGCCTGATGACCCGATCCAGCCTGATGCCCCGGTGTCCGTAGTCCAGCTTGATACCCCCATGCCCATGGTCCAGCCTGGCGCCCCAGTGCCCGTGGTCCAGTCTGGCGTGCTGGCGCCCCCTGGTGCCCGCTGTCGAGCCAGATGACCCGGTGCCCGCTGTCGAGCCAGATGACCCGGTGCCCGCTGTCGAGCCAGATGACCCGGTGCCCGCTGTCGAGCCAGATGACCCGGTGCCCGCTGTCGAGCCAGATGACCCGGTGCCCGCTGTCGAGCCTGATGACCCTGGTGCCCGCTGTCGAGCCTGATGACCTGGTGCCCGCTGTCCTGTCTGATGACCCGGTGCCCGCTTTCCTGTCTGATGACCCGGTGCCCGCTGTCCTGTCTGATGACCTGGTGCCCGCTGTCTTGTCTGTCCTGTCTGATAACCCGGTGCCCGCTGTCCTGTCTGATGACCTGGTGCCCCCTGTCCTTGTCTGTACTGTCTGATGACCCAGTGCCTGCTGTCCTGTCTGATGACCCAGTGCCCGCTGTGAAGCTTGGTGACTCGGTGCCCGCTGTCGTGCCAGATGGCTCGGTGCCCGCTGTTGTGCCAGGTGACTCGGTGCCCGCTGTAGTGCCAGATGACTCGGTGCCCGCTGTCGTGCCAGGTGACTCGGTGCCCGTTGTCATGCCTGATGCCTCGGTGCCTGCTGCTTCACCTGATGGTCCGGTGCCTGATGGCCCGGTGCCTGCTGCCTCGCCTGATGGCCCGGTGCCTGCTGCCTCGCCTGATGGCCTGGTGCCCTGCCTGATGGCCTAATGCCCGTTGCCCCGCCTGATCCCGGTCACCACTGCCCCGCCTGATGGCCCGGTGCCCCGCCTGACGTGCCTCCGCCCGCTACCCAGCCTGACGTGCCTCCGCCCGCTGCCCAGCCTGACGTGCCTCCGCCCGCTGCCCAGCCTGACGTGCCTCCGCCCGCTGCCCAGCCTGACGTGCCTCCGCCCGCTGCCCAGCCTGACGTGCCTCCGTCCGCTGCCCAGCCTGACGTGCCTCTCTGCTAGTGCTGGGGCTTACCTGCCTTGTGGGCTGCAGTACCAGTGCTGGCCAGCGGGTGCTCTCAGCAGCCAGTGTCTCACTCCTGCAATCAGGCCATCACCTGAGGCTGATTGCAGGAGGTGTATTAAAGTAGGACCAGGCCTGCAGTCAGTGCCTTGGTTTAGTTCTCCCTTGTGCCCTGTATCCTGTCTCCTGCCTGCCTGACGCTCCTGCTTGACTCTGACCTTGCTTGAACTCTGCCCGTACCGACCCCGGCTATTCCTGGCCACTCTTCTGCCTGCTCCTTTGTACCTTGTCTGCCCGTTAGCTACCGACCCGGCCTGCCTGACTACGTTTGTGCTCCATACATTTTTATATCAGTTAAGGTTTGGGTTTTGTTTGCACTTCATTGTACATATTTATATTAGTTTAGGTTTGGTTTGTTTGCACTGCGTTTGTGTATTGTATAACCTTTAATAAATTATATTGTTTTACACCTTACCTGAAGCCTGCGTTTCCCTGTGTCAGTCCACACATCTCTGGTCATACACGGATCCCTGACGATTACAAAATCCAAATGGCATGACCAGGTACTCAAAGTGCCCAAACCTCGAACAAAATGCGGTTTTCCACTCGTCCCCCTCCCTTATGCGGACCAGGTTATACGCGCCCCTCAAATCCAATTTAGTAAACACTGCTGCAGACTTTAACCTTTGGAATAGCTCTGGAACCAAAGGGAGTGGGTAACGATTCTTTATCGTGATCTTATTTAACTCGCGATAATCTATGCAGGACCTTAGGGACTTGTCTTTTTTTTTCAACAAAAAAGATTCCTGCTCCGGCTGGCGATGTGGAGGGGCAAATTAACCCTATTTGGAGGTTTTCATCAATGTACTCCTTAAGTACCCCCAGTTTCTGCTCGGATAGGGGGAATATCCGTCCGAAAGGGATCGCCGATCCAGGTAGGAGGTCGATGGGGCAGTTGTAAGTTCGGTGTGGAGGAAGACTGTCTGCCCCTCGTTTACTAAATACGTCAAAGTAATCGTGGTAGGCGGAGGGAATGACTTGGATTAGCTCAGCATCTCCGTCTATACATAAGAGGGACTGGGGAGCCGAGGAAGTCGGGGCATAAAAATGTTCTTGGCATTAAGGCGATTGAAACTGGATGGACCCGGTTTTCCAATTAATCTGGGGATTGTGTGCCCGCAACCAGGGGAGCCCCAGAATAATTGGGAATAGAGGGGATGCAATGGCATCCAGACGGAGGAACTCCCGATGATGGTCAGCCACCGTAGTGCAGATAGGCAGGGTCTCCCTGTCCACTAACCCTGATTTAATATGTGACCCATCAGCCAAAAAGCTCTTCAGCCCACATTCCCTTGTCTGGAGGGGGATCTTCTGTTGAGTGGCGAAGTCTATGTCAACAAAACAACTACAAGCCCCAGAATCAATGATTGCTGTCGCTGACACGATTCTTCCTGGGAGCTGGAAAGAAATGGGTATGTAAGTAATTTGAATGGTTAGAACCGTTAGAGGATACAGTGGAAAATACGGAAGCACACTTACTCAGTTTCGCTGGACAAGAACGTACCACATGACCATCTTCCCCACAATAGAGATAGAGGTTATTCACTTGTCGTCTCTGACGTTCCTCGACTGACAATGATGGTCATGCCAATCCGAGCTGCATGGGTTCTGGTATGTCATCAGACTCTGAGTTCTGGCTCTCATCTGGCATGGATGGAACGGGAGCACGAGAGAGTACCCATGTAGGTCTCTGACCCTGGCTGGATCTCTCCAATCTGCGTTCCCACAGTCTGCGGTCAATTTGGATGGCCAGAGTGATGAGATTCTCCAAGGAGTCGGGTAGGCCCACTCTGGCTAAGTCATCCTTAAGGGACTCAGACAAGCCCATGCAGAATTGGTGGCATAGCGCAGCATCGTTCCACTGAGTGTCCCCCATCCAGTGTCTGAACTCTGAAGCATATTCCTCTGCTGCCCTGCGGCCTTGTCTGAGAGAATACAGAGGCTGCCCGCTGCGGATCATCGTATAGAACTGCCATCTCATTGAAGAAATCTGTGACGGTTTGTAGATGGGGATCGTGGGTCTCCATCAGTCGGTGAGCCCAGCCCTGGGGCTCGTCTTGAAGTAATGAGACAATGAACCCCACCTTCACTCGATGGAGATTGTCCGTGGCTGCAGGTTAAAATAGAGCTGGCACGCGTTCCGAAAGGCCCTGAATTTAGCATTATCCCCGCTGAAACGTTCCAACAATGGTACGCGGGGTTCCGGTGGAGGTAACGAGACTACTGCTCTAGCAGGAGGTTCTGAAGGCTCTCCGGCCGCAGAAGGAGTAACCGGGTTCTGGGACATAGCGGCTGGTGCGGCCAACGTCTGGATACGGTTCTCAAGGTGCGTGTACCCCTCCTGTAGCGTTTTAAAGGCTTGGGTCAGTGCCGCCAGACGTTGGCATATATCCTCTAGTGGGGATGGCCCTCTTCCAGGCTCCGTCATGTCCGTATGGTTCTGTCAGATACCACCTGGCGGTACCTCTAGCGATCAACAGGACAGGACTCCCCAGGGCGTGGGGTCTAAGTCCCAGTCTGCTTGTTCACCAGGGCCCCTGATGGTGGGGATGGACTTGGAGCAGACAGTGACCAGGTCGCGGCCCCTGAGTACACCCGCCTGTGGTAGAGGGACTCGCCAGAGGTATATACTGGTATGGAGCCTGACGTGAAGAGGCGGATAGGCCTGCACAGCAGTGACCGGATCCGTACCAGATGGATGGATGACAGGGTAGTGTAGCCTAGTCAGACAGGCCAGGTTGGTAATCGTGGGGGCAGCATAGTACAAAAGCAGCAGACAAAGAGTAGTCAGGTCACACGCCGGGTTCAGTAACAGGAGTTCAGATCAATGGGGATATCCCGGAGAGTAGTCAAATGAGCCAGGGTTCAGAGCAGGAGATAGTCAGCGAAGGTCAGGATAAAGCAGGGTCAGCAACAATTCAATCAGCATATACACAGGAACAGGATAAATAGACCATACGGCAACTAGTGTCTGTGCAGAGCTGGTTTAAATAGCGCGCCCTGCGCTGTCATTGGTGCCAGGTGCGCGTCCGCGATTGCGAGTGCGCATGCACGAGCGCCGTTGCCGTCGTGGGTGCCCAGGTCCTAGTGCCTGCTGATTCGGGCGCATTGGCATTCTGCGCATGCGCAGACCCATGCGCCGTCACGCTTCCTGACAGTAGCCTTTCTTTCGGAGTTAGGGCAGGTCGGAGAAGGCCAATTTTCACTGGTTCTACTTCAGAAGTGCTGATGGGTTGCGGACTAGGGGCAGGAGCTGTTGGTCCTGGAATCTTTGGCAGAACCCTTGTTGGTCGAAAGGTCTGAGTACACTCAGCACGTCTTTCCCGTAGATGCCAATCCAACTGGGTAGAGAGCAGGATAAGGTTCTCCAAGGAGGAAGGAGCTTCCACCCTAGCTAACTCGTCCTTGAGTGATTCGGACAGGCCTAGACGGAACTGGTAGTTTAATTCTGCATCGTTCCAACAAGTATCCGCTGACCATTTGCGGAACTCCGCTATGTAGTCCTCCACAGGCTACCGACCATGTAGTAGAGCATGGAGGGTGGACTCAGCAGTGGAGGTCCTCTGGGGGTCATCGCAAAGGGCAGCAATGGCTTCAAAAAATTCACTCACTGAGTTGAGTGCTGGGTTCTTCTGATCCAGTAGACTATGTGCCCAAGACTAAGGTTCTTCAGCCAAGAGGGAGATGATGAACCCGACCTTGACCGCTTCCATTGAAAAGGTTTTGGGTTGTAGAGCAACATACAGTTCACAGGCATTTTTGAAAGCTCTGAACTTATGTCCATCCCCAAGGAAACATAGGGACTCTGGAGGTGGTAACACCACAGCAGGAGTGGTGGCAGGAGACAGACTGGCAGGTGCAGCTACTGGGTTAGAACTGGCGGAAGGATACTGGTCCACAGAAGTAGAAAGGGAGTGAAGATGCTCTTCCAACAGGAAGTATCCTTACTGTAGATCTTTCACTGCATGAGTAAGTGCCGTCATTTGTTGGCACAGGGCCTCTAGTGCGGAAGCGCCTCTCTCGGCCTCGAACATACTGGCTGGATGATACTATCATGTACCTGGTGATGGAGGCCAATGGAGAGAGGGCTTCCCTTGCGGCTAAGTTCCAGACTCCCCTGAAAGTGGGACAGTGGGAGTCAGGACCAAAGTGGCACGGGTCGCCTGTAGGAGTGCTGGTTGGTGGTCCACCCAGAAGCACAGCTGATGTACAGAAATAGGTCTGCAGACAGGTGGCGCTTGAACGAGGTATGCAAGCCCTACCAGGATTTAGAGATTTACTGGATAGCCGGTTCAAGCCAAGGTCAGGTACCACGTGGGAATCAGAGCAGGCGTAGTCAGATAGGATAGCCGAGGTCATACACAGGGGAGCGAGAGAGAGAGCATCCGTAAGCCAAGCCAAGATCAGATCAGGGGTAAAGCAGAGTAGGCAGATCCAAGAGCAAGCCAGGTCGGTATCAGGAAATCACAATAACACAGGAAACAGGAACAAGGCATGGGAAGCTAGAGATCATCCAGCAACTTGAGGAAGTGATGAGCCTCCTTATAAAGGCCATCTGGCACCAAACTGAGGCTAATGTGTGCTTCTGCGGCCATGCAGGGTACTGGCAGAAATGCCAGATCTTCCAGAACTTCTGCCGTGGACAGGACCCTGACAAGAACAATCTGCGGCTTAGAAAAATATTTATTGAACACTGTAAGATATCAATAGGGCAAAATAGTAATCCCTCCACCCTACACAAGAGTAAAACACAATGACAATGTGCAATATCACTGTAATTGGATGACAGTATGGAGTTGCAAATTCACAGGGGCCCCCTGAGTAGCCACAGATAAATTGTATATCAGTATGAAAGATCTAAATGATCATGATTATGGCAGTCCACCAGTCTGAAAGTGTATATACTCAACGCTGACACACATAATCTTGTGTAATAATCTTCACTGCCAGTCAAATCTTGTAAAATATGGCTATGATAGCACTGACAGCGGCAAATAACTGTAAACTTGACAAAAATCCAGCACTGATAAATGTCAGTCACAGAGATAAGAGGTAAGGCATTTCCAGTGTGGAGCAGCTCATTTGTGAAGCCGCATGGGGATGTCTGAATGTCCAGGACGCAGGCGTCACGAAGCTGTGACGACAACGCGTTTCACCCACCAAATCACGTGAGCTTCAGGATGCTGCAGTCAACACATCAAGGGTTTATATAAGGAGACCAATGCGTCATTTCCGGATTAATCCACAGGGGGCCGCATCCTTAAATTGTCACTTAACCACAAACCTACAGGGCACTTATACCCCTTTCCTGCCCAAGCCAATTTCCAGCTTTCAGCGCTGTCACACTTTGAATGACAATTGCGCGGTCATGCAACACTGTACCCATATGAAATTTTTATCATTTTTTTGTGACAGAGCTTCATTTTGGTGGTATTTAATCACCTCTGGGTTTTTTATTTTTTCTCAAACAAACCAAAAACCACTGAAAATTTAGAAAAAACTTTTTTCTTAGTTTTTGTTATAACATTTTGTAAATAAGTGATTTTTCTCCTTCACTGATGTGCGCTAATGAGGCTGCAGTGATGGGCACTGATAACCTGCACTGATGGACACTGATAGGTGGCACTGATGGACACTGATGAGGAGGCACTGGTAGGTGGCACTGATCGACATTGACAGGCATCACTGATGGGCACTGAAAGGCAGCACTGATACATGGCACTGATATATGGCACTGATAGGCAGCACTGACTGGCACTGTTAGGCGGCACTGACTGGCACTGTTAGGCAGCACTGACTGGCACTGTTAGGCGGCACTGATGCACACTGATAGGTGGCACTGACTGGCACTGATGGTGGCACTGATAGGTGGCATTGATGTGCACTGGTAGGCACTGATATGTGGCACTGATGTGGCACTGATGGGCACTGGCACGAGGCACTGATGAGCACTGACACAAGGCACTGATGGACACTGACAGGTGACACTGCTGGGGCTACACTGATCATCAGGGCACACTGATCATCAGTGCCCTGATGATCAGTGTACATGTCCCCTCCACGGAAAGCCGATTACCGGTTCTCTCTCTCCTCTGTCCGCGTGACAGCTCGAGAGGAGAGAAATGCAGATAACAGGCATTTCCTTGTTTACATGTGATCAGCTGTGATTGGACACAGCTGATCACATGACCGAGCCAACATCTTCGGCTCTTTCATTGATCGGTGATCTGCTGTGTCCGAGAGACACAGCACACCACCAATCGCCACGCTGCGCACTCCCTGAGCCGCACATGTGCGGTGAGAATGGGAGGACATCATATGACGTCCTCCCAGAATGAGAGAACCACCTTGCGTCCGTCATATTACTATTCGGCGGGCTGGAGGTGGTTAAAGCTTCATGTAATGGTTACAATGTAAATTGCATAAAATAGAAAATGAATCAGAGTTAAATGTGTATAAAGTCATACAGCACACTTCAAAACATACTCTGCTACTTTTAGCAATATGCCAGTGGACAATAGTACCATGAGGAGTAACCAAAACTATAAAAAAAAGATGTTAATCTGCAAATCAAAAAATAATAATACTCCATGGATATGGCCACCCCCCTTGACTAATGAAGAGGATATAAAGTTAGGATTCTAAGAAAACCTGTAAACTCAATTCCTTATTGAGTGCCTAGGGTGCCAAAGACCCCAGTTTAAATATCTACTCCGCAGTAGGATTGTGTCAAAATCCCCCCTGTGGTTGGAGAGGTTCAGGGCATAAATTGCCTTAACCCCGAGTCCAATAGGAGATAAATTATGAAATTTGGCATAATGTTCAGCAACTGGAGTCTTGTCCACTTTAAGGATGAGGAACAGCAAGCTATTGAAGATCTTGTTTCATTTATAGAAGATGATTCTCTAGAATTAGATGAAGACTCTGACCCTAGTGATCTATGGAACAGGCTGGTTGGGTGTTTTTTTGGATTTGGTCCAACGTGATTTGACCAAAATTAATTGGACCAACTGGTATGGACAACCTCTCAAAGGATGAGAGGCTGGAATTAGGAGAACTCAGGGAAGCACCCAACCTAGTGATTAAATCTAGTGATAAGGGTGGAAATCTGATTTTGTTGTCAGAGGATTCATATGAATGTGAAGTCAAGGGGCAACTCCAAGATTCATCTACATATACAAAGTTAGGGGGGAATCCGTTCCCCTCGTTGGTTTTGTCTCTCAATAATAAATTATCTTTGGCCTGTGAGGAGGGTCTCATCACCAAAAAAGAATGGCTTTATTTACGTGTGGATGATTATAATATTCCTATCATATACATCATCCCCAAGGTACATAAAAGTTTGAAAAATCCACCTGGAAGGCCCATTGTATTGGCATTACGGGGACACCTTGAACGTATCGGGAAGTATCTCAATGCCTTAATTAAAGAGATGGTGATGGGACTCCCATCATATGTCCAGAATACCAGAGATGTCTTGGCTAAGATTGCTAAGGTAGAGATTCAGACAGGAACGATTTTGGTGGGTATAGATGTGGAGTCCCTCTATACCTCTATCCATCATCAGTGGGGGCTTGGTGCAGTAGCCCATTTTTTGGAAGCGATTTACTCAAATATAGGAGCACAAAATGAACTCCTTTGGAATTATTAGATTTTGCTCTTGATAATTATTTTTAATTCTTGGTAACTTATTATTGCCAGATCCGAGGGACCTCGATGGGGGCACCTGCATATGCCTGCCTCCATGTTGGATGGTGGGTAGAGGAGATTGTATACTGTTCGTCGATGTACCTTGGCCATGTTTCCTTGTGGCTGAGGTACATTGATAATGTTTTTATGCTTTGGGTAGGTACTGAGCAGGAACTTCATGATTTCATGATTTACCTCAATGCTAACAATCAGAACATCAGATTAACATATACAGTGGGGATCAAAAGTTTGGGCACCCCAGCTAAAAATTTGTATTAATGTGCATAAAGAAGCCAAGGAAAGATGGAAAAATCTCCAAAAGGCATCAAATTACAGATTAGACATTCTTATAATATGTCAACAAAATTTAGATTTTATTTCCATCATTTACACTTTCAAAATAACAGAAAACAAAAAAATGGCGTTTGCAAAAGTTTGGGCACCCTGCGAAGTTAATATCTTGTACTGCCCCCTTTGGCAAGTATCACAGCTTGTAAATGCTTTTTGTAGCCAGCCAAGAGTCTTTCAATTCTTGTTTGAGGTATCTTTGCCCATTCTTCCTTACAAAAGTCTTCCAGTTCTTTGAGATTTCTGGGCTGTCTGTCACGCACTGCTCTTTTAAGGTCTATCCATAGATTTTCAATTATGTTGAGGTCAGGAGATTGTGAAGGCCATGGCAAAACCTTCAGTTTACACCTATTGATGTAATCCCCCGTGGATTTTGAGGTGTGTTTAGGATCATTATCCATTTGTAGAAGCCATCCTCTCTTTAACTTCAGCTTTTTCACAGATGGCATCAAGTTACCATCCAAAATTTTATTGAATCCATTTTTCCTTCTACTCGTGAGATGTTCCCTGTGCCACTGGCTGCAACACAAACCCAAAGCATGATTGATCCAACCCCATGCTTAACAGTTGGACAGAGGTTCTTTTCATTAAATTCTGTGCCCCTTCTTCTCCAAACGTACCTTTGCTCATTCTGGCCAAAAAGTTCAATTTTAACCTCATCGGTCCACAGAACTTGCTTCCAAAATGCATCAGGCTTGTCTATATGTTCATTTGCAAAGTTCAAACGATAATTTTTGTGGTGAGGACGTAGAAGAGGTTTTCTTCTGATGACTCTTCCATGAAGACCATATTTGTACAAGTATCTCTTTATAGTGGAATAGTGTACCACAACTCCCGTGTCTGCCAGATCTTTCTGGAGGGATCGTGCAGTCAAACGTGGGTTTTGAATTGTTTTTCTCACAATCCTGCGAGCTGTTCTATCTCATATTTTTCTTGGTCTTCCAAATCTTGCTTTAACTTCCACTGTTCCTGGTGACTGCCATTTCTTAATTACATTCCGAACAGAGGATATTGACATCTGAAAACGCTTTGCTATCTTCTTATAGCCTTCTCCAGCTTTGTGAGCGTCAACTATTTTCAGTTTAAGTTTTCTAGACAACTGCTTAGAAGAACCCATGGTGCTGATTGTTGGGGCAAGGTCAGATGAGTCTGGGCATTTAAAACCTTTGAGATTGACATAACCTGGTCTTCCCAGATGATGATTGAGAACAATCCATGACGCTGGCAGATCTCAGCTTTGCAAAGGGGGCAGTGCATGCTATAAATTCTGCAGGGTGCCCAAACTTTTGCAGACGCCATTTTTTTGTTTTCTGTTATTTTGAAAGTGTAAATGATGGAAATAAAATCTAACTTTTGTTGACATATTATAAGAATGTCTAATCTGTAATTTGATGCCTTTTGGAGATTTTTCCATCTTTCCTTGGCTTCTTTATGCACATTAATACAAATTTTTAGCTGGGGTGCCCAAACTTTTGATCCCCACTGCACTTTGGTCATAGAGAGATTTAATTTCTTGATCTATTGATTTCCATTGATGGTAAGAGCCTGAGAACTAAAACATACCGTAAATCTACGGCTGCCAATACTCTGCTGTTAGCTTCCAGCCACCATCCACAGTCCTTGATACGGGGAATTCCGACTGGACAGTTCTTGCATATTCACAGGAACTGTACCAGTGGTGACGACTATAGACAGGATGCAGAGGATCTCTATGGGAGATTTCATGAAGGGGATACTCCCATGGAACCATTAGACAGTCTCGCAGGAGGAACTCAACAAGGAGACTTGCTTCTCAATACATATAGTGAGGACAAGCCCCCTAAGGATAACCCACCCGTATGTATCATTACTTGGTATGGCACACAGTGGGAAAAGGTATGGACGGTTTTGGCCAAGCACTAGCAAATATTGACACAGTCTCTAGAGCTATCTGGAATTGTCGGCCCTAGACCCCTAATAGTTGCTAAAAGAGCTAGGAACTTAAGGGATAATCTAGTGCAGTCAGAATACAGATGAACACCCATTAAAAATTGGTTAAGGGACCTACCCACCTTCAGGGGTCTGCACCCCTGTGGACGGTGTCATATTTGTAGGTTCGTTGACCGTACAGATAGATTTATGGATGCAGATGGACAGAAGGTTTATTATATTCATCAATTCATAAATTGTGCGACAACATGTGTGTTGTACATGCTGGAATGCCCCTGTGATAAAATATATATATTGATAAGGCTAAGCGTCAGTTGCGTGTGCGCATAGGTGAAAATCTAGGTAGCATTATCAATAAGCAGGACAAGACTCCAGTTGCTGAACATTTTGCCAAATTTCATAATTCATCTCCTATTGGACTCAGGGTTAAGGCAATTTATGCCCTGAACCTCTCCAACTGCAGGGGGGATTTTGACGTAATCCTACTGCAGAAGGAGAAGGAGTAGATATTTAAACTGGGGTCTTTGGCGCCCCAGGGACTCAATACAGAATTGAGTTTACAGGTTTTCGTAGAATCCTAACTTTATATCTTTTTCATTAGACAAAGGGTGGTCATATCCATGGAGTATTATTATTTTTTGATTTGCAGAGTAACATCTTTTTCATAGTTTTGTTGGTTACTCCTCGCGGTACTATGGTCCACTGGTATATTATTATTATTATACAGGATTTATATAGCGCCAACAGTTTGCTCAGCGCTTTACAATACAGCAACAATGCAGTTCAATACAAGAGGGATTTGAGGGCCCTGCTCCTTGGAGCTTACAATCTAGGAGGGAGGGGCTAGTAGTACAAAAGGTAGTAACTGTGTGGGATAGACTGGTTGGAAGAGAAGAAGATTCCAATATTAGCTGAGGGCAGGATAGGCTTCCCTGAAGAGATAGGTTTTCAGAGATCTCCTAAAAGTGAGCAGAGTAAGCGATAGTCTGATAAATTGGAGTAGAGAGTTCCAGAGGATGGGGGAAGCTCTGGAGAAGTGCTGGAGACGAGCATGGGAGGAGGAGACAAGGGAGCTAGAGAGTAGGAGGTCTTGCGAGGAGCAGAGAGTACGGTTTCAGTGATATTTAGAGACAAGATCGGTGATGTAATTTGGGGCAGAGTTATAAATGGCTTTATATGTTATTGTTAGTGTTTTGAATTTTATCCGTTGGGCAACGGGAAGCCAGTGGAGGGATTGGCAGAGAGGGATGGCAGATATAGAACGGTT